TCCATGATGCTTATCTTGAGAAAGACTTACAAAGGTTTCTTTTCTTTGTAAGAGATTTTGATCCGACATTCAAAAATCTCCGTTCCATGATGCTTCAGCACCTTGACGACATGGCACCTAAAATCTAAAAGCATGATATAAAAGTACTCCAACTATCCCAAGATCATCACAAAGCATTTGAACCTGATTCTAACTACAGGAAAAATGGTATAACACCCCAAGTTAAAATTTCTTGAAGGTGAGGAACAAAATTATGCATGTTTCTTAGAAATGACACTGCTACCAAACTGTCTTTAACATTTCCAGAAACAAGAGAAGGATATCATGTGGCTTTGGAAGGAAAGTGATGAATGCAAACTTCAACTTCTCCAAAGCCTTTCCTTGACTGTTAGTTGTCAGCTGGTGGGAGGATACATGCCTTGTTTAGTAGAACAAATGTTCCATCATGGTTTTGATGGCATAGTTATTAATGGCAATGATGTTGAGGGGATTGAAAGGTTCAAACTATTTTTATAGAAGCATTTTTCAAACCAAAAATCTTGGTAAAATGAAGTGTTTTTTGGGTATTGAAGTCACAAGGTCAAGACATGGTATTAACTAATGTCAAAGAAAGTATGTCCTAGATTTACTTGAAAAGACAGGATTATTAGGTGCAAAACCAGTTGAATCTTCTACAGAACCAAATGTAAATTGGGGAGTTATTTTAATGATCCAAGAAAGTATAAAAAGTTAGTTGGCAAACTAAATTATTTGACAAAATGGCCAAATATCACCTTTGCAGTCAATGCGATTTGTCAATTTATGCAGAATCCTCAGGTTCCTCACTAGAAATTTTTTTATCAATGGTACCTCACTAGAATGCTGCCATTAGAATTGTATGATATTTGAAAAGGGCTCCAAGACTTGGATTATTATATAAGTAAGGTGGGAAACTTGAAATTAAAGGCTATATGGGTGCAGATTGGGCTGGATCAGTTTCTAACAAAAGAGTAAAAAAGTAAACTATGGTTGCAAGGAGTAGTGTTGAGGCAGAGTATAGAGCCATGGTACACACCACATGTGAGCTTATGTGACTGAAACACCTACTTCAAGAAGTTGGATTCATTATGACAATTGACAAATCCTATGAAGTTACATTGTGACAACCAAGCAGCAGTCCAAATCTCATCTAATCTTGTCTTCCATGAGAGGACCAATGATATAGAGGTTGATTATCAGTTTATCACTTCATGAGAAAAATAGTATTTAGTGGAGAGATCAGCACATTTCATGTTAGTTAAGAGAAGCAGTGGGCAGATTTGTTTACAAAGAGCTTGAACCAGAAAAAGGTTAAATACATACGTAGCAAGCTGGAACTGTAGTGTTAACAAACACCTAAACAGGGGGGTTTTAGTCATTACATTATATTTTATTATGCTACAATTCTATGTAAATGGACAATCCTCTCCTATCTTAAGTTGTGTGGTTCATATTTAATTAGGGGTATAGAGGTCATCATAATCAGCTTTGGAAAACTACAAATAATAGTCGACTAGGGAGATGGGCATTCTATTCGGTTCGCCCCTCCAGTCTTCTCTTATTCTTTCTCTACTTCTCTCCTTCTCTCTTGCTTTCTTTTCCTCCTCTTTGTTTATTCAACCGCGGGTATTATATCACATCTGATCTCACTTTATTTCTTTTAGAAAAGGAAAAAAAAAAAAAAGAAGAAGAAAGGTTTTATCTTTAACAGGTGACAAACAATGGATTGATATAGACCTGCTTCCAAGTGCCTCATGGGGGGACACCTGACAGTTATTAGCATAAATTTAATGTATCTAACGCATTACAGTGCAGACTGCAGAACCATGTGTTAACAGATGAAGTTGCTGAACTGAAAAGTGTGTTGCTTCATCCTTTAGTGGATAAAATAATAACTCAACTAAAACCCACCCCAAGTATATGGGCTTGGCTACCTATCAAAAGAACACTATATGGGATTGTCTATATGAGTCTTGTTCCAACGTTCTTCTCTGTACAGTGCCATATCTATACTGGATAAAATAATTAAATAATAAAATATTCAAGGGTATAGTAGTCAACCCAACTTCAGCTTCAGCCATGAAGGAGACCTCACAACCTTTTAAATTACTAACTAAAAGACAAAGCAATAAGTTATTGAGCTCAGCCAATTCAGTTGTTATCAAATGGCCCCTAAATATAAGTTAGAAGGGAAATCTCAAGAAAAGTATTCTCCCCATAGTAGAAATCACTAATTGCAGATTTAGTCGAGTTTCTTGTGAAAGGAAAGAGGGGAAAGATGAAGATTTCAGCAATAAAGAAGAAAGGAAAAGAAGAAAAGAGTAGGAAGTCAACCAGGATTGTAAAATTAACCCTAGCCGCCTACCTCTCATTATATTTATACTTAACTTAAAGGATGAGATATTACAAGGATGCCCTTAGTAGGGCGGCTACTAATATAGCTGAACAGTCACAACTTAAAAAAAAAGCATAAACTAATGGGGCCTAAAGCCCAACAACTTCCTAACTAAATAAAAAACAAACCAGACCAACTCAACACCCATCATACCAGATTGTCAGAAGGACCATCATCTCGTTGGATAGCCATGGGAGCCAGGCATGATAAATTGGTATCAGCAATGACTGGTGTGACAGTGGTAACATCATTGCTGTTAAAGCGAACAGTAGGGTCATCTTGCCGAGGCCACATTGTTGTTGTCATCTCTGAAGTTGGAAAATGTGTGAAAGAAGGTGGTGCACTTACTTTAACCTGGTAGGAGACCCTGGGCCTTTGCCATGGAGGCTGGCAAACATGAACATCATAACAGTAAAATGGAAATGAACAAATCAGAATTTGATAAAATTACATACTGAGCTTTATAAATTAAATACTTCCAAGTAAGCCAATAGTCTATATGATCCATGATCAATGACATTTCAATAAAACTATCCAACCATATTGAAATTTATGACTTAAATACTTTGAAATGAGCCTAATTATACAAGTAGTAACAATCTAGAAAAAGTTTTTTATGGTAAAACAGTTAGAAAAGTAGCAATCCAGAAAAAGTATTTGAGAAACTTTAGAACAGTTTTAATATCACCTCCAAATCCCTAGTAAAACCTTTCAGAACTGATAATCAGGTAATGCACATGCATAATACATATATTGCCAACTAATAACTATTAAGTTTCTAGTAAAATTTGATAAAAATTGCACCTGGTCTCTGGATGTTTCCTCCTTCCACTGATCCTGATATTTCTGGAGTAACAGTAAGAGAATGCTCTGCAGCTCAAGAGGCAGGTCATGTGGAAATAGTTTCAAGATATCATTCCCAATGAAATTCTCATGTAAACATTTTCTGATAAGCGACCGAAGGCATGCCAAAACCTATAATCAGGTTCCATATGTTATATCTTGGGGAGGAAAAAAAAGCTCTAGAGTATAGAGCTTAGGGAACTCCACTTCTCATAATAAAACAAATGAAACAAATTAATAATAAACATAGTGGTAAACAAGATAAAAGAACCATTAGTCTTTGGGAAGAACCAGAAAATGATCAGTACATTCCAGATTGTATTAATGGAAGCTATGGAGCAAAGTGTTGGGCAGTCAAGAAACAACATGTTCAAAAAATGAGTGTGGCAGAAATGTGAATGCTAAGATGGATGAGTGGAAAAACTAGAATGGATAGGATCAGGAATGACACCATTCATAGAAACCTAGAAGTAGATCCAATTAGTGATAAAATGAGAGAGTAGGCTAAGATGGATTAGTCGTGTGCATAGAAGACCACCAACAGCTCCACTTAGAAGAAGCGATTTGTTACAAGTGGAAGGGGCTAGAGGAGCTAAGGGGTAGACCAAAAAGGACATGGGTAGAAATAGTAAGAAATGATTTAAAAATTAATAATTTAACAATGGATATGGCTTTAAATAGAACAAAGTAGCAAAACAGGATTCATGTAGCCAACCCCATATAGTTGGGATAAGGCATGGATAATGATGATGATGATTTCCTTTTTTTCCCAAGGCGGCAACTTTGAGAAAAGGGGAAGGATTAATTATAGATAATGGTAAGGGTGCTCATGGTTCAGTTGGGCCTATTTTCCAAACTGAACCGAAGCCGATCAGTTTAACCAGTTGATCAGTTCGGTTAACCACTAGTTCAGTTTACCGGTTTTGAAGTTTTCTATTTTTATAATATGTATTACAAATAAATATATAAATATATAATAAAAAATCTACAAATATATAATATTATATTATAAATAATAAATAATATATTATATATTATAAATATATTTATACATATAATGCATATATATTTAATTATAATATATAGACGATATAAAATATATATAAAATATGTATAATATACGTAGATATGTAACATATATAAATATATGTATACCGGTCGGTTCGGTTAACCGTTAGTTTTTTATATTGGTTAACCGAAACCGTACCAGTACCTTTCGTTTTATGGAGATATCGAACCAAAACCAAATCGATCGGTTCAATTAACCGGAATTTTCAGTTCAGTTCAGTTTTTTGGTTTTTCATGATCATCTAGATAAAGGCACAAGGAAGTTAAAGGCTAACCTCAATGGAGATAGACAATTTTGAATATCTGATTTTAACCATTCAATTTAAACTCATTAGCCTCTCTTTCAACATGGACAATTTTAGTATTAAGCGCTTCACAAGGTCCAAGATTATGTTGAAAGCAGGTAATTGATATGCATAGCCCTGATCCACAAACCATTACTCACATTTCTGACCTATATATTACAAAGAGCTTCTAGACATGAGAAACAATTATGTAATCTCCTCATAAAATTCACAAAGAAGCAAATTATCCAAATGGACCTTTTTTTGGTAATCAATAAAAAAGAAAAAACTTTATTAAAAATAAGAGAGATAAACACATAGGTGACAAGAAATCACACCCCCCCCCAAAAAAAAAAGAAAAAAAAAACACCAAGGCCCAACAAAAAGACAACCCTTTGACCCTATAATTCAATTGCTGAAGCAACAGAAGTCACCAACCGCCCCCCAAATGGACCTTTTTTTGGTAATCAATAAAAAAGAAAAAACTTTATTAAAAATAAGAGAGATAAACACATAGGTGACAAGAAATCACACCCCCCCCCAAAAAAAAAAAAGAAAAAAAAAACACCAAGGCCCAACAAAAAGACAACCCTTTGACCCTATAATTCAATTGCTGAAGCAACAGAAGTCACCAACCGCCCCCCCCCCCAAAAAAAAAAAACAAAGTAACACCCTAATCCCCAACAAGACCCAAGCCCTTTAAAAGACCCCACCCCAATAGGGTCCTTACAATAGCAAGCCTCTCAAGACTCCTCTTCAGATTTTTCTTCAGGCAACAGAAATCTCTCCTCAAGGTCCTTAAACAGCTTCCTTGTCATTTCTTCCCCTCCCAACACAGCAACACCCAAAGTCCTAAAACCTTGTTTACGTGAACTGCAATTTCTACTACCTTGTCCACGTCCAATTTCCTTTCTTCCTTTCTAACTCTGTCCATCACTTCTCCCTCCTCTTCTTGCTCCTCATCAGAATTGTCTTCCCCTGAGCTCCCCTCTTTTCCTCAGCTTTTTTCTCTTCATCCGTGTTGTTTTCCCCTAAACCATCTTTCTGTTTCCTTCCCTCCACCTCTCTTTGGAAAGGTCTTTCTAATTGACCTGAATGGAGACATCCCACAACCTCTTTTTCAATCTCAAAGTTTGACTTATCATGAACACTACTTCCAGAAAAGCTCTTTTCTTTACTTTTGGTCTTTGAAACCCTTCTCTTATATGTCCTCTTGAATTTACTGCAAGGGCCATCCCCAAAAACGCCTTCCTTCAAACAATTAAAAACTTTTGTAACATGAACTAATTGTCCATTGTTTGGAATCTTAGCATTTCTCAAGCCAGCCTCTAATCTCAAAGGTTTAATGTTCCCTTCTACCCTATTCTTCTCTCTTTTCCTTCCTAAATCCACCCCTAACTTTCCAATAATAACCTGTGTGACAGTGGGGTGATTTGGCGACAGCCCTTGCTCCAGTAAAACTTTTCCTTCTTTCTCGTCTTCTGATTGCTGGCAACAGAGAACAAAACTGAGTCTTCACTGTTCAGAACTGAAGTCATTCTTGGCTCAGCAATTGAACTGTTGGTTTCCTGGTTTCCTCCCTAACTCTGCCATCATCTTCCAGCCAAGGTTGCTCCTTTGGCTCTGTCCTGTTGTTCTGAGCTTCCTTCTGCATCACCCTTTCTAAAGACCTCCCAGAAAAAGAAAACAAAAAAGTGACTTTGAAATGCCAGAATCATGAATTTGCAATAAATTTGCACTTTGAGCTAACATCAAAGGTTTGAGATATAGCACTGAATGGAGTGGAATGATAGAGAAGGATTGATATAGCTGACCCAAAAGTTGAACTTTAGAGCTCTAATTTGAAGCCTCCCCCATTACTTGTTTCACTCCAGTCTCACATTTTGATTTTTCTACCACCAGTTTCTTCCGGTTTCTCCTTATCATTTCTAAGAGAAGACTCCATGATGAAAAGCCAAAATATAGCAGTTTTAAATACCCGGTCATTCCAAGTTGAGCTTTCTTATAAATAAAAGTTATCTCTAGTTGCAGCTTTAAATACCAGCCATTCAAAGTTGAGCATTATTTTTTTATGGGAAACAGTAACTTCCATTAATTCTTTAAGATGACTTAGTACAAAGTTGAGCATTCTTATGAATAAAAGTTATCTTCGGTCCTTGCCAGCTTATTGCAAGTTGTAGCTAATGCTAATGGTAAGACTTCATGATTGCATGGGAAATTCCAACTTAATATTTCATGCAAAAATAGCAAAGCTATAATTAAGAGAGAAACATTCTAGTAGTAATGATTGGGCCTGCTACCCTTCACTGGCTACTTCTTTCTATCAATATAAACTGACTCAAACTGCTTCTGACCTGCATCTCTGGAAAATGTAAGACGAAGAATGGATGTATCTAACATAATAAATAATTTATATAATTGAAGCAAAGCAAGTAAAAAAGAAATGAAGTAATACAAACATAAAATACTTATGCATGCTTGATTTCTTCATGCTTATCGGCTTTAACCTATATAAAAATGCATATTGCAAACTATCAATCAAAAAAATGCATATTATGAACATAAATGAGATTAAAGAAATATAGCAATAATTGCTTTGGGGACTGTCCAAGTGAACCTGACTCAACCAGGGTAAACACTATAGCCAATTGACCAATATGTTACACTTTTTTAGATTCTGAACTGCAAAAACGGTTAAGAGAAGGAAAAAACAATTGATGAAATTGAACTGCATTCCTTAACCCCTGGAGGTCAGATATCTTTTAAGTTCCTCTCCTTAATTAGTTAGGTCTAACCATGCCAAATCCAAACCTGCACCTAAACACACAATAGGTTTGACGAACACAGAAAATATAATCCTGCAGCATTATACGGTGGCAGTAAATATAGTTCAGTCTCATTCCTAGCAAAGCTTCTGGTATCTACAGCATTATTCAGCATACCAAACCCTGCATTTATAACTCATGGTAGTCCAATGTTAACATAAAGCATACTTAGTGGTTCACTGATTCTAAATCCAGGTCCTCAAACCAATTTAAATACAAATTCTACAGAGTAGCCCAATCTTATGTCATACATCATAATGGGAAGCTCTCACACTAAAATCTCCCATTAGTCATCAATAGAGCAAAATATCATCCCAAACACTGTCTTTACCACTATTCATTAATAATGCATGAATTGGATAAGGTTTAGTACTGGTGCTCTAATGAAGGTTTTGACTGAACCTACAGCTATGCTACAAGGATTTTAAAGAGGAAAAGCATAGAAGTGACAGAATTTCTCAAACAAACACAGGATATATAATAACTCCCTCGCCACAAATATTTGAAGTTACAGTAGCCTCCCAAGCTAAACCATGATAGGAAAAAACATATAAAAATTAAAAAAAAAAAAGTCTAAGAACTCACTCCAACCAGTCTTAAGCAAACTATTCAAAAGTTCTTTCTTATAGCCAAACTAACCGCATCAATTGAGCCATATCCTATGGGGAGAGGCCCTTAAATGGCTATTTAGTGCAAAAACTGAGTATAAAGTCATGGAGTTTTAACCTCTGTTTCCCTAGGATCGGTTTGCCTACCCTAATGCAATTTGAATTTCTCCACTATCATATTCATACTTCTAAAAGCAATCCAATAACCTAGGCTGTGAAATATCAAGAAAGTTTTCCATCAATTCAGGACACCGACAATAGCGAAAGGAATCGAACCCCATCTTTCCTTTTGTAATATAATCTTCCAATTGCAATGTGAATCGGACCCAGGCATGAATCAACAAGAACCCATCAACCAGAGTATAGAAATGGGACGGAGCCTGTACTAAGTCACACTAAGCAGTGCTTCATCTATAAGGAAACAACACAGAACTCGAGCCAGCCACCATAAATAAAGCAAAAACAGAAACGGGTTCTCAAACAAAACGGTAGTGGCTCAAGACCCTTTACAGAATTACTGTCTTAGAAGAACACATGAAAAAATAGGTAAAAAAAGGAATGAAACTAGTGCTTATGCAGTAGGAAATGAGATTTTTTTTTCTTATTTACCGGATCCAGTTCTTCAGCTGATGGAAGGTTGAGAAGGGATTGGATATAAGACTTCTCTAGAGGTTTCAGACCGGTTTTCCTGGATTTCCATAAGCTTTCGAAGACGTGCGCAAGGGTTTCCTCAGAAGCTGCTGCCGATAGCTTGTGCAGTTGCAAAAAGAGAGTATCTTCCATGTTTTCTTCTCTGTGGCTGTGGGACGTTTTGCCGCTTTTTCGTTTTGAGTAATTTTTTAGTTGGGGATGGATATACCAAAAACAATTTTGTGCTGGGACTCGGGACCTTGGGTGAGGAGGACTGAGTGGCCGAGTGAGGGAGTGGACAAGGGAGGACTAGGAGAGTGGAATGCTCAAATTCACCGTATCTTTATGGGATGGACCCTTGGCTGGCAAATCAACCTCATTTTAATCCTTGTGGACCTCAAGCTAAACCAAGTCAATTAAAATGGGTTTAAGATTTTATTGACCCTCATGCTAGGAGATGGGATAGATCCAATCATTTTGAAGTAGAGGTAGCTGAGCAGATTTGTAAGTTAAAAGCTCATAGGGTTGGGTGGTTGTGACAATTTGGATGCTAGGCTCAGAGGGTAGATTATCAGTCAGATTAGTTTATGTAATGTTATTGCACACCAATTATCTTTTCAGTCTGTACATGAAAGGGTCCATGCAAGCATATCAAGAAAAAAACATTGGAGAAGAGTTTAGAATCTTAATATCCCTCCTAAAATAAGAAATTTCATTTGGAAATGTTGTTTAGATGGCATTGTTGTGAATAAAAATCTTGTAAATTTTGGTATAAATATGAATGAGACTTGCTCAACTTGTGAATCTAAAGTTTAACTATTTTGTGTGCTGACAAGTTGATGAAGGAAGTGATGAGGGTGTTTCCACAAAAATCTAGTGTTTTAAAAATTGACTTGGAGGTTGAACCGTTTACACCTCTAAGTTGCAAGTCACCAGTTTGACCATTTGGGTTGAATCATTTTGTGTGTATGTGTGTTTATTCATTTTACCAATAAATAATTTATAATTATATCTTACATGTAAATATATATATATATAAGTATCATTTTATGTTTAACTTATATTCTTATTTTAATTCCTTTTATCATAAAAATGCTAAAAATTGGGATTTGGGGCAAAAAAAGGGGGTTTTGGAAAGAATAGTGGGACTGGGGCCTTGGGCCACATAGATCTTAAAATTTTACCCCAAATTAATAGCATGTTTTGCCCTACAAACCTAACAACAAGCACACATCAATTCATAGGGTTACAATTGAACCAATCTCTAATCGAATAGTTTGAGCTCAAATCCGATTAGGATCAATTTGAGTTTGATTCTAATTGAGTTTGAACCACAAAGTAATCCCGATTAATTATTCAAACTCGAGCTTGACCAATAAAAGTTCAACGCAAAATCTTACGAGCTTGACTCCATTAACAAAAATATACATACATACATACATACATACATACATACATACACATACATATAATATATGCATACATGCATGCATGCATATATTAGAATATAATATATACATACATACATACATACATATATTATAGAATATAATAGAATAGAATATAAAAATATATTTTATAATATATATTATGAAAATATATTTTCATATTCTATGTATAATACAAGCATGTATTATATATTATAAAAATATATCATATATATATATATATAATATAAAATTATATTCATTTTCATGCTTTCGAGACAAACTCAAGTTCATCGAATATTTAACCGAACCAAACTCCAACTAGGAAATAGAGTTCAAATCGAACTCAAACTTGAGCTCAAGCCTAATAGTATTTTAATCAAGCCAAGCCAAGACATAATTCATCTCGGTTCGACTCAATTGCACCCATGTTTGTTCCCACTCATCCCTGCCCCACAGCAAAACAAATACCAAAGAATCAAAAAAAAAAAAAAAAAATTGAGTTACACATCAATCAATTCTTAAAACAAGGAACCACATGTAGAGGTGGATTCAAGCTGCTTCAAGCTCGATCTTGATTCGAGTTCGAGAATGAGCTCAAATTTGACTCAACTCAAAAGTGTATGTGTTCAATGTCATCTTAATTCAAGCTTGATAGTGAATTAAGCTTCACAAAAAAATACAATATAAAAATTAAAAATTATGCATATAAAAAGAGTAAAATATTATATATATATATATAGTCCAATACATTATATAATATATATATATAAGCTTGATTAGGCTTGCAAGCTTCACAAGCCGAGCTTCACTGGACTCATGATCGGCTTGATTAGCAAGCAAGCCTATATATTAGACTCAAGTTTGGTTTGAAGCTTGGTTTAGACCGAGCCTAATTGAACTTTTCATGAGCTGTGCTCAAATCGCTCGTGAAAAGCTCATTTTGTGTTCACCCCTAACTTCATGTGGTCTCCTTTAAACAAGTCAGAAGAGCTTGAGGGAGATCAGAATGAGAGTTGAACTCATGGTATCTCCTTTCCTTAATGTCTAAGTTTGAAAGATAGTTCACACTTGTTACCTTCCCAAACCGTATGGGACAACTTAACCCTTATAAAATTACACACTTCTAATTTGTCTTACTAAGTAGATAATGTTCCATGGAGATCTCAAATTTTCAATGAGAACATTCACGGGGCATTTGTTGTCACTTTCTACCTCCACCTTCATCAAACCCTTGTTGTAACAAAGGTTTAAACCATCAAGAAGCACTAAACACTAAGCTTTAATAGAAGTATCATCACTGTAGTAGTTTTTTTTGGCAAAGCACCATAGTAATTGTAAAAAGCATACTTCAGAACCGCATTATAGTCTCTAATAATCCCTCCACTGTGCTTTCTTCCAGGTTGCCATGACATGAGCTGTCAACATTTAATTTAAAATGGAACTGAGCTGGAGAGTGCTAATAGACCCAACAATATTGTTCTTCTATTTGATGAAATAGTAGGAATGTTCAGGCATTGTAAAATGTAAGGATTCATCTCAAGAGAGAGAGAGAGGTTTACCTCAAGTCAAACTGATTTCCAACAACCATTTCCTAATTTTGATTGATGAGAGAATATGACAAAATGCCTTTACCCTCAAAACTTCCATTGCATCTTTCTTTTCAGAGCACCCAAAAGAACAATGGAAGGAAAAACTATCATAATATGATGTAATTGAGTGTTTATTGCAATGAAGTTCCACAATAGGTTAACCTTGTTCATCACCTATTGATCTGTAATGATAGGGATATCAAAAGTGTTACTAAAATGAGACAAAATTTTGTTTGCAATAGCACCATTAACAAACAAGTGATTAAGATTCTCAACACAAGGGCATTCACAACAACGATGTTTTGAGGCTATCTAGACTCCATGACTTCTAACCACACTTTCAGGGGGCAAAGCAACATTGAAAAGTTTTTAAATGATATATGTAAAAATGAGCAACTTGTAGATGTGTTTAGGAAGGGGCTTCATCACCTATGACATAATGATTTGTATGACAAGTTGGGCATGATAGGTATATATACTCCAACTTAAGGGGGATTGGAACAAGAGCATGCAACTAATATCGGCGAGTACATGGAAGAAGAAAGTTTGAGGGAATGATTTAGAATCAATGACTTGCTACTATAATAGATGTAGATGTTCAAGACTGCTATCAGTCTTGAGCACTAATAAATTTCAGGTTCGAAAAGGAGAGAAAGTATAGAGAAAAGAGGAGAAAGAGTATTGAGAGAGCAATAGAACACAAACTTTGAAAGGAATGACAGAATCTCAATATTCTGCCGCCGCCACTTCTATTTAATATTTATAGGTTATGCTAGTTACATGAAATGACACATCTGCCCTTAATATTTACATAACACATAAAACAATATAAAACTGAAAAATAAATAACAACTAGAATAACAGATTGACCATCAGCTAACCCTACGATGACTAGGTACATTCTACCCTACGGACAGAGTGGGACCACAGCTATGGGGCCCACATCAGTGTTCTCTACAATAGATAACACACCAAGAAGAGCTCTCACTGAAGGTTGAAAGGGAAGAAAGGGTATTGTTAGTTAGGCATGATAGGTATCTATACTCCAACTTAAGGGGGATTGGACCAAGAACATGCAACTAACATCGGCGAGTACATGGAAGAAAGGGCTTCATCACCCACGACATAATGATCTGTATGACAAGTTGGGCATGATAGGTATATATACTCCAACTTAAGGGGGATTGGAATAAGAGCATGCAGCTAACATCGACGAGTACATGAAAGAAGTAAGTTTGAGGGAATGATTTAGAATTAATGACTTGCTACTACAATAGATAACACACCAAGAAGAGCTCTCGCTGAAGGTTGAAAGGGAAGGAAGGGTCTTGTTTTCCTAGTGAGAAGGGTTGTATCGTGGTTCCAAAGTTTTTGGGATGTAGCAATGAATGTTGATTGGAAGGTTTTCTTCAAAGACCCCATAAAAACATAAAGGAAATATTACACATCGACAAGAAAAAGAAATGCCCATGGTTGGTATGTCACCCTGGAGGAAAAGTTTGGTAAGGGAAAAGACAACTAGTTCTTATCCACAAGCAAAGAATTCAGTGGGATGGAAAAGTGTGGCAAATGCCCTATTTTGAGTTTTAGCTGGAGGTGTATATAGTGAAGAAAAAAAAAGCAAGGAAGAAATGGATATTCCTATAAAACCTTTAGTCGAAGAGTCACTGACCAAAAAAATACTGGAACAAAAAGCTTGTGGTTTCTGCTAAGAATAAAGTTAATGATTGGAAGGAAATTTTGGATACTTGTTTAGAAAATATACAAATAAAAGAAATGACCATTCTTATCCCCTTTGAGAAGGATAAAGAAGTTATTGATTTAAGGGATTTTCGAGTAGACTTTATAATTATGAAAACAAAAAGAGGTCTAGTTACAATTGAGAGTTGTTTGCCTTCGAGTAATGAGAAGGAAGTTTAATGGTTAATCTTGGGGCTACATTTCCACCTATGGGTAGAGCATGTCTTCGGAAAGAATGCAATGATTCGTGGATGAGAGTTAAAAGCAGTAAGCTCCTATGACTTACATGCAACCAAGGTTAAGGTTTTGGGTGGCTAAACTTGAAAATCCCCCATGTAGTGGAGATCCAAGCTAAAGGTAGATGGAGGGAGATCTAGTTAGTGTCAAAAGTTAAAGTGACGCTATGGCATGTAGAGACAATGGTTGAAGATGAAGATGACAAGGCAAACTAGGTGGCATTTAGAGAAGAAAAGAATGACTTGTAGGAAAATCTTAGGGGGTGTTATTTTTTGGATTTTGAGAGGGGAAAAATTGGTCAATGAGATTTTGGCTCCCATTGACCAAGAATTCTATATTCTTTTTTCGAATTTATGTGGAGGCTAGGGAAAGTTTGTTTTCCTGGGTGATA